GGAGGGGAGGAGGAGGAGGAGGAGGAGGAGGAGGAGGAGGAGGAGGAGGAGGAGGAGGAGGTGGAGTTCCCCTGTGTCCAGAAGGGGCCCCAGCAGGCAGACCATCGCGAATGAATTTTGGCATGATGTCTTGGAGTCGCTATAGATCTGGTCTTCCTCGTCCTGGCTCAGTTGTGAGCTGATCTGCGGCTTGCGAGTGTGGATGCTGCCCTGCGAGAGCGCCCACATGGTACCTATACGACCACCCTTCGGGTGATAGTCAGGTTGTGGGGGGGAGAGAGGGGGGGAACCAACATCTGACTCAATTGATCCTACTATCGATCTCACTCAACGGGACACCACGGGACACCGCGGAACACCACGGGACACCGCGGGACACCACGGGACCCTTGTCGATCTCATTATCGATCTCACTATCGATCTCACTCAACGGCACACCATAGGACACCACGGGCCACCACTGGACACCACGGGACACCGCGGGACACCACATCGATCTCACTATCGAGCTCATTATCGATCTCACTATCGATCTCACTCAACGGCACACCATAGGACACCACGGGACACCACGGGACACCACATCGATCTCAGTATCGAGCTCACATCGATCTCACTATCGATCTCACTTAGCCGGACACCACGGGACACCACGCGACACCACGGGACACCTGTCGATCTCGCTATCGATCTCACTATCGATTTCACTATTTGGGACACCACTGGACACCACGGGACACCTCGGGACACCACATCGATCTCAGTATCGAGCTCACTATCGATCTCACTATCGATCTCACTCAACGGCACACCATAGGACACCACGGGACACCGCGGGACACCACATCGATCTCACTATCGAGCTCACTATCGATCTCACTATCGATCTCACTTTTTGGGCCACCACGGACACCACGGGACACCTCGGGGCACCACATCGATCTCAGTATCGATCTTACCATCGATCTCAGTATCGATTTTACTATCGATCTCACTATCGATCTCACTATCGATCTCACTCAACGGGACACCACGGGACACCACAGGACACCACGGGACACCACGGGACACCGCGGGATACCGCGAGACACCGTCGGACGGACGGACGGATGGGCGGGCGGGGGAGAATCATTAGTCTTGACTTCGCCCTAGCAACGGCGGACACCACGGGACACCACGGGAAACCGCGGGACACCGCGAGCCACCGCCGGACGGACGGACTGACGGGGGAGAATCATTTGTCTTTACTTCGCCCTAGTAAAGTAACGGCGGACACCACGGGACACCACGGGACACCACTGGACACCGCTAGGGCCACCGCCGGACGGACGGACGGACGGGGGAGAATCATTTGTCTTGATTTCGCCGTAGCAGCGGCGGACACCTCGGGACACCACGGGACACCACGGGACACAGCTAGGGCCACCGCCAGACGGACGGACGGACGGGGGAGAATCATGTGTCTTGATTTCGCCGTAGCAACGGCGGGCTCATTCCTCTCGCGCGCCCACGCAGCTTCGCCTCGCCCGCACGCACGACACGAGCGAAACGAAACGATTTCCCGGTTGGCGGTCCCCGTTCCACGGACGACGGATGTGCACCATACCGCGTTTGCGCCTCTCGAGGCCTCGTCGATCCTCGATTGAACTGGGGTACGGTGCATGGTTTTTCGCCCCCCCCCCCCCCCCCCCCCCCACCCCCCTCCCCCCCCCCTCCCCCCCCCCCCCCCCCCTCCTTCCCCCCCCCTTCCTCCCCCCTCCCCCCCTTCCCCCCCCCCTTTCCCCTTCCCCCCCCCCTCCCCCCCCCCCGAGCTAGAAAATGGTTAATTTTACCGCGTTTGGGCGGGGCCTGCAGTGAGTTCAGACACGGTACGGCGCATAGGTCGGCGTTACCCCAACATACCAATACTATGTGTGTGTGTGTGTGTGTGTGTGTTTGTCGCCCCCCCAGGGGCGACGCGCGCACCGAGAAGCCTCATAGTATATGCGTAGCGGGCGCTTTCTGGCCATACCCTTCGGGAAGCGATCTGCTACAAGATGGGTATGCTATGTGTTCGGGTCGGACGCACGCCTCCGAGGAGGACACATCGTCCTTGTATGTCATTGTGCGTCCCAATAGGTGCCGTCCTCGTAGCCCGCCTCCTGCCTCCACCTCCAGGTGGCAAGATGCGCCTGTGACAGGACTGCCCCGCCGCCAGCCTCCGCAGCGCCTGTCCTGTCCTGTGCTGCCCGCCCCGCCCCTCCAGGTGGATGTGATGGTGCGCCTGCTTTTCCCTACCCGGTTCGGGCGGGCCCAGGACCCATAGAGAGATCGCTCCAGAGCCCTCGGGACGCGCCGGAACGGCCGCAGCGCCCGACACATGCTCCAGAGCCGCCGGATCTCAGGGATCCCCGATTTCTCCTGGTCCGATGTTGGTTCTGGGTTCGTCATACCCAGGCGGCGCGCTCGGGGGGAAGTGAGAAGGAGCTTGCCTTCTCAGAAGGCTCGGGAGTCCCCTGGCCTTCGGACAAGTTTTCTGAGCCTTCCCCGAAGACACAGAAAACCTCTCAGGAGGCGCGAGGGCTTCTGAGAAGCCCCGCCGCCTTCTGAAAAGGCCTTCTCCTTCTCACTTCACCCCCCTCGCTCGCCGCCGAGATTTATCCTGGTCCGATTTTGGCCTGGTCCTGGCTTCGTCTTACCAGTAGCCCCCGCTGTGTGCTTGCTGCCGCCCCAGGCGCGTGGCGCGCGCAGGCGGCGGCACCTGTGGATGGCGCCAGAGGCGGAGGTGTGCTACAATGCCCGCGCGGAGCCCTACGAGAAGCCGCGGCCCCAGCGCGCGACGCAGATGAGGAGGAGGAGCAGGAGAAGTTGGAGGAGGAGGCCGAGGAGGAGGAGGGGGAGGAGGAGAGGGAGGAGGAGAGGGAGGAGGAGGAGGAGGAGGAGGCGGATGATGATGATGATGATGATGATGATGATGATGATGATGATGATGATGATGATGATGATGATGATGATGATGATGATGATGATGATGATGATGATGATGATGATGATGATGATGATGATGATGATGATGATGATGATGATGATGATGATGCTGCTGCTGCTGCTGCTGCTGCTGCTGCTGCTGATGATGATGATGATGATGATGATGATGATGATGATGATGATGATGATGTGATGATGATGATGATGATGATGATGATGAGAGGAGAGGAGGAGGAGGAGGAGGAGGAGGAGGAGGAGGAGGTGGAGGAGGAGGCGGAAGAGGAGAAGGAGGAGGAGGATGAGGAGGAATACGAGGCGGAGGAGGGCGAAGCATGTTGGAGGAAACGAGGAAGAGAGATGGGGGCGGAGGAGGAGGAGGAGGAGGAGGAGGAGGAGGAGGAGGACGAGGACCAATGTAAATTTAAGAGTCATCAGCGATGTTGGAATACACCCTCCCTCCAAGCTCTCTCTACATTGGCCCCTTACATGGTTCATTTACACTGAGGGACGTGCCCCGTTGGGGGACAACCGTGTGAAAATCTTGACGCGTGGCACAGCACGATTTTTTTGATTTTGACGCCACGAGTCAACCTGACAGTTGGGTCTGGACGATCATGAATCGTGCCAGAACACCAGTCCTGGGGTTTCAGCACCGCGAATCAACCTAACTGGTGCGCCCTGACAACCCTGAATCGTTCCAACACGCGGTTCCTGATACGTTTACCATGAGAATCGATGAACCTCTTCTAGATTGTTGAAACCGAATGCGCGCGGTGAAGAAAAGGAGCCGCCCTCAATCCGTGAAGCTCTTGCAGTTTTTGTTTAACAAATTCGCGCAGCGCGAATTCGAGAACCACGTTTTGAAAACGGCCCGCCCTCAATCCATGAAACCTTTGCGATTTTGCAGAAAGCATGTGTGAGGCGCCGAGGCGAGAGTCACAGTTTGGGAGCGACCCGCACTCCGTCTGTGAAACTGTTGTCAGTTCTGAAGCTTCAGGCTCATAGATGGTAAGGAGGTCTCAGGCGAGACGCCCCGCCCGCCCTTCCGATTGGCCTCGGGGTGCGACAGGGAGGAATCATCCACGAGGAAAACGGGAGGAGGAGGAGGAGGAGGAGGAGAAGGAGGAGGAGGAGGGTTGGAGCTGGCTGGAGGGCTGAGATGACCCGGCGTTGGTTGCGGACAGCAGGAAGCGGGGAGGAACGACCCCGCTCGTCGCCGCGGCTGGACACGGCTCGAAGAGCTGGTCAGTTTCGACCCCGGGAGGGGTCCGTGGACCGATTTTGAGTGGATTTGCCTTCACCCCCCCCTCTTGACCAATTTCCTTTCTGGCTTTTATGCAGCTCAGACCCCTGGGCCGCATCCAAGGGGAGGGATGCCTGTGCATGCGTCGGTGAGCCGATTTTCACGAGCGGCGACGTTCTCCAGTGGTGATGTCGTGTGCACCTTTTTGGCTCCGAACGGGGGCGTGAGAAGCCTTCCTGGGGCGAAGGTACGGTCTGCTGCTCCCGCCCATATTGATGAATCGCCGCCTGTGGAGAGTGTGCCCTTCGTTTGGTGACTGCTTTCCTTCCGCGTCGTGCCTGCGTGGTGGGTCGTCTTAGTTCTTGGGGAGCGGACCCATCGACTTGCAGCCGTTTCATCGGCGTCCCCCCAACATACTTATACTATGTGTTCGTCGCCCCCCCAGAGGCGACGCGCGAACCGAGAAATCTTATAGTATGTGCGTCGTGGCGGGCGCTTTCTGGCCACACCGCTCGAGAAACGATATACTACAAGATGGGTATACTATATGTTCGGGTCGGACGCGCGCCTCCAAAGCGGACACATAGTATTAGTATGTCTCTGTGCATCCCATTTCAGGGTCCTCAGAGCCTCCCCTCGCTGCCCCCTCGCACTTACCTGCGCCTTCACGCCCAGTGCCCCTCTCCGCGCGGCCCCGTGCCGCCGAGGTGCCCGCCTCTGGCGGAGTGGCTTCAGAACTACCCGAAGCTCGGCGAGGCCGTGAGCACGAGCATGATGATGAGGGTAATGGAGTGGAGTAGGAGGATGAGGAGGCGTGGGGGGGCATGGGGAGAGGAGGAAGGGTATGAGGAGGAGGAGGAGGAGGATGCTCAGTGTAAGCCCAAGACGCAACAACGATGTTGCACTCAACCCTCGCTCCAAGTTCCCTCTTCATAGTCCTTACCAGAACCAGTTTCATTGCGGGAAGTGCCCCATTGACAGCCGTTTGAGAGTTCCCACTCGTGCCAAGTTACAGTTCGTGGGACTTCAACGCCGCGACTCGACGTGACTGTTGCGTCTTGATAATCCTATATCATTCCAGAACGCAGCTCCTTGGCTTTCAACGCAGCAGGTTAACGTGACCGTTGCGTCCTGGCAGTCCTGCATCGTCCCAGAACACCTTCTTGGGACTTCGACACTACGACTCTGCGAAACGGTTGCAAGCTCTTCCGACGACGGCGCGCGCGTGGCGCTGGAGTTAGCGCCACGTTTTGAGAATCGATCGCCCTCCATCCTTGAAGCTGTTGCAACCCTCGTGGAGATGAGTGGGTCACCACCCACCAACCCACCCCAACCCAACCCGAAGGCCCCGATTTGCCCTCCATTTCCAGTGGGGGGGGGTCTGGGAACGTTGAAAAAACACATATGGAACCCGTACCCCCCCAACCCGAAATTCGTGTCTTCGGGTTGGGTTGGGGTGGTCTGGTATGAAGATGAGTGGGGGCGGCGCCAGGGCACATTTGGAAGACCACCCGCCCCCCATCCGTGCGGCTGTTGCCAAGTTAAGACACGAACGTGCGTGGCCGCGGCGACGACAGATCCGCGCCAGCCAGCGACAGGCCGCGTGCCGCCCGACGTCGGGAAGCGGGCGCCTCCTGTCTGCCCTCCTCCTCCTCCTCCTCCTCCTCCTCCTGTCTACTCTCCTCCTCCTGCTTCCCCCCCCCCCTCCCAGCTCACCCTCCTCCGCTTGCTCCTTCCCCCCCTCCCCCTCCCGCTCCTCCCCCGCCTTCTGCTTTCCCTGTTCTGTCCTGTCCTGTGTAGGTCCAGACCTGGCATTGGTGCCGACACATCCAGGCAAGCAGCGGGCAGTCATGCGTGCTGCGCAACTAGTTCCCAGAATTGCTGGGGGTCCGGCCACAGGCAATCGTCCAGTGCGTGCCCCGCCTCTTGCTTCCCCTCCTCCTTCCCCGCCCTGCTCCTGCGGCAGCCGGTCTGCTCCAGCCGCGCGGCGCGGTGTGCAGCGCAGCTGCCCTCGACAGAAGCGTGCGCGGGGCCGCCAGCACGATTCCTACCCCGTGCCTGGGCCGCCACACTGGCGTGACGGACTGTATGTTCTGAGTGCCTCGCCTGCCCGCAGTCCCTTTCCGCGGCCGTCCTCGCCTCTCCCCGTCCCTCCGGTGTGAATATGCCATCTCGCAGCCCGACCTGGGCCTCCGCGCGGGGCGACCGCCAGCGCTGCGACCGAAGAGTGCGCGAGTGGCCGCCCGACCCTTTCGAAACGTGGCGAGGCGATCGCACCACTGACTGGAGGGCCCGGCGGGTGCGCAGAGGCAAACGTGGGTGCGGCGAGGGGCCTGGCCCTATGCAGCCGGGCGTAGCGCAGGGCGTAGCCTTCTCCTCGGCCTCCCACGTGCCCCTTGGGCGACGATCCGTGTGACAAGTGGGCCAGGGTCGGCTGGGGGACGAAAGCGAACGCCCTCGTTGTGGCTGCAGGTGGAGCTGCCAATGGGGTTTGACTGGCGTGAGGGGTGTGCCGGAATGGGCGTGAGGGTTTAGTGCAATTTGGTTGAGGACTCTTGGGTTTCCGCTGGTCCTCCCTCTCCTTCTCCTCCTCCCCGTCCTCTTCCTCCACCATTCTTTTTCCTTATCAGTAGATGCTCCCTGTCGCACCCAGGGGACAGTCGAAAGGGCGGGCAGGGCGACTCGCTCGAGCCTTCTTCACCATCAATTACCGTGAGAATTAAAATTCGCAGCAATTTCGCGGATGGAGGGTGGGTCGCTTTCAAACTGTTGCTCTCGCCTTAGCGCTGCGCGCATCATTGCAAAATGCCGGATTTTCGCGGATTGAAGACGAGTCGTTTTCAAACTGTGGTTTTCGCCTTGGTGCCGCGACAAGGCTCCCGCTTTGACGCCGCGCACAGGCGTTCAACAAACAGTTGTAAGTTCTTTCCGGACGGAGAGCAGCTTGTTCTTAAGATGTGGTCCTCGCTTCAACGCCGCGCACACTCGTCAGAGACATACAAGCGTTTTACCAATGGAGGGCAGATCTTTGTCAACATGTCGCTCTCGCCCTAGCTCCGCGCTTATCCGCGCTTATCCGTTTTAAAAGTTTGCAGCAGCTTCACGGATGGAGGGTATTCCTTTTTCAAAATATGGCGCTCGCCTTGGCGCCAGTGTCAAGGACCCTCATGTTTAACGTCCCAGACATCGTGTTTGGCACGATGTCGGATTGTCTGGGTACAACATGGTGTTGAAGTCTTAGGAGTGGTGTTCTGGCAGAATTCAGGATCGTCAAGACGCGACAGGCGTTGAAGTCCCAATAATGGTTTTCTGGCATAGTTCAGGGTTTTCAAACGGTTGTTTTCCAACGGGGCACCTCCTACAGTGGAAATGAACCTCTGTAGGGGCTTGTCGACATTCGAACTTGAAGGGAGGGCTGATTGACATATACTGGATGAATCTTGAATTTACAGTGGTCCTCCTCCACCTCCTCTTCCCCTTCCCCCTCTTCCTCCTCCTCTTCCTCCTCCTCCGCCTCCCTCCCCAGATCTCAGATTTTTCTGTTCAATTTCATGCGCGGTTTCAGAGGTCCCGAACTGGTGGTATTTCTCCGTCTCGGATCCGTTTTCGATCGCCCGTGGGCCCGAAAACGGGGCCCAGTCGCCGAAGTCGACCCCCTCCTCCTCCTCCTCCTCCTCCGATTCCTCCTCCTTCTCCTCTTCCTCCTCCCCCTCCTCTTTTTCTTCCTCCTCCTCCTCCTCTTGATCCTCCTCCTTCTCCTCTTCCTCCTCCTCCTCCTCTTCCTCCTCTTTCTCTTCCTCTTAATTTTCATCTTCCTTTTCCTCCTCCTCCCTCCCTCCCGCCCTCCCTTCCTCTCTCCCTCCCTTTTTCCCCGTGTTCTCCGCCCTGCCTCCTGTGCCCCCCCCCCCCGGAGGCGCTGCAGACCTGCTCCTTGCGCTTCGTGGTCAACCTGCCGGAGGAGAGCCTGGTCAGCGCGCCGCGCCTCTGCTTCGAGCTGCAGGAGCCGCGGGGGGGGGGGGGGCGGCGGGGGCCAGGGTAAACAGAGGGGCGAGCTCTTCCTCCCCCCCCTCTCCCCCTCACCCCTACACCCACCTTGCTTCGAGCTGTAGGAGCCGCGGGTGAGGGGGGGGGCCAGGGTATGCAGGGAGGCGGACTCTTCCTCTGCCCTTCCACTCCCCGCCCACCTTGCAGCGGGTGCCGCGGAAAATGCTTAGACTTGTCGTAGGTACATGAGAAGAAGACACGCGGCAGAACAACACGGGCAGCCCACGAGCACCGACAACAACCCCGACGCCGCCACCGACGAAAGCGGCATCAACGCCAGCGCCGACATTAGCACCGACAAGTACATCGGGCCACGCGGCCAGAACGAAAGGGACAGCGGCGGCGACGAATTGGAATCTTGGGTTCGTTTTATCTGAACAATTAATTCTACCGCCATGGCACTGGCAAGACGTGCACGGGTCGAAGATTGGACAGATATCTATTGCAAGCGCAAGTGGACATGCGTTGCACGTGTCGCCAACCACGACCCCGACAGATGGATACGTCTAAGCGCGAACAGGGACCCAAGCTTGCACGACTCACGCTCCGCATTTCGCCGACACGGGGGGCACAACACGCCGTAGGAGGACGGCATCGTTTCATTCTTGCATTCGGCGACATATTCGGACAGCGGTACGCAGTGGTGGAAGCTCGCCCAGAATCGACAATGGTGGGACAGACGAGGAGGACCGTTCCTACAAATTGTGCGTTGCTTCATCCTCGGCAAGTATTATTGAGCATGCCGGTTTCCGTTCTTGTCACTCCGATTGCCCTTGGGCGTCCTGACAGGCCATCAGGAGGCCACCAGGAGGGGCCCTGGGAGAGGGCCCCAAGAGAGGCCCAGAAGGCCCAGCATAGAAAAGGCCAGAGTTGCACAGACCCCAGGGGCCCTTTTGAGGCACCTTCGGGGCCCCGAGGGGGTCCCTCGTTCGAGCGCGGACCTTCATCCGACAACGCGTACGCATAGACCCCCCCGAATCCCGACCCGCGCCTCTTGATTTTAGAGCCAGCGCTTCCCAATTTCAGGACGAGTTATGGGTATGCGTGCGGGTTGTCGGACCCTGAGGGGTGCTCCCGTGCGAGCGCGGACCCCCAGTCGACAACGCGCGCCCATAGCCCCCCCATAAGTCCAAACCGCAGATTCACAACCGGGGCCCTGCGATTCGCCGCCTGCGGCGACGCAGCGCACGCGACTCCAGACGCGGGGTTGAGCTCGACGGCGAGCTGGATGGACAAATCTGTGCTGACCTTTGCCGCCTCCGGGCCCGCCAAGCTCATGAAAGTTAGGGCCCCGTGCGTGGCGGCTCGCGAGGCTCCCCGATGCCGCGATTGCTCGTGGGCAGCGTGACGGTGCTTACCCGGTCCCACGCGGGGACCACCTCGGCCTCGACAGCGGTGGCGTTGCCGCCGTGCTGCGCCAGTGCGCTTTAGCGCGGTCCAAATGGAATATGTGAAAGGCCGGCAAGAGATCGCCTCGATGATGGCGCCAAGTTGCCACAATAATCCTTTGGCCGCGCAGCCTCGCCGCCAAGGTCGGCCTCTCGTCCTTCATGGCCGCGGGTGTCAGGCTCATGAGAAACTCGTTGAACGGCTGCCCTCGCAACTTCACGAGACCGCGCGCGTCCAACCACTTTCTGGTTCCCACAGGCACGGCCGTGAGGCTGTCGACCTTGATCTCGACGGCGTCGTCCGCCCCTCCGAGCACCTCGCTGGGGTACTGGCCGCACGGGGCCACGCGGACTTTGGTCGCCTTCGAGGCCAAGCGGAAGTGGACCCTCTGGCCAGCCTGGCGGACGCCACGAGCGCCCGCAGCATTTGCCTCCGGGTCAGTCCTCGTAACAGGATTGTCCACGCGCCGGCTCTGCTGGTGCGGACCGGCAAGCCCATTTGACGCAATGCATGACCAAGAACGATCGGGGGTGGACAGACCTCCTACCCTGACCCGTCGATTAGCGAATTGGCCGTTTTCGGTTCGCGAGAGGGCGTTGCGGCCGTTATTTTTGCGGTTCCAGGTCCGTCGGTTTCGGTCCCAGGCCGTTTTCATTGAAGGGAGGTTTGCTAGGTTTGTCCACCGCCGAAGCGACACGTGAATGGAAACGAATGCCACACATCTGCCCTTCTTGTCACGCTTCACAGCGACTTTCGCATGCAGGCGGCTGTGGCGATCGGCGTCGCCTCGCAAATCGAAAAGTCCCATGTGCCTCCTCCAGCGGTTTACCTTAGCTTGGAACCACGAGGCACCCCTGCCAGGAGAGACTGTCCATCTGTGTTGCGTCCACATGCCTGACGCACTGACCCACGCGCGACCAGCACCTTGGTGCCGAGTGAAAATGGCAGCCTGGATTTTGTTAGCCCCTCCCCCCGCGCTCTTCGAAAAGGGCTCCCCTCCGATCTCGTGCTGCGCCCAGAGTGGAAAGGGCGTGCTTCCGCGCGCCGCGCTGTGAAACAACTCTCCTCCGAACGCGTTGTGGCGATGGTGTTTCTCTTTTCGGGTTCAACGGCCAGGAAGCGAGAATGGTCGGGCCTGAAATCGTTGGGATCCAGCTTGAGGTCTGAGTGTTGTCCACCACCCTCGTGATGATTATTTGCGGCCTCCGGCCCATCCCGCCGCCGCGCGAGGGGATTGGGCGCGCGGCTTCTGAGATGGGGCCCCGATCCGCCAACGAGCCCCAAAGAAGCTCCCGCAATGGCTCCTCGAGGCCCCATCACACGCCCCAGGACCCCCTCAAAGATATTTCAAGAGGGCCCCCAGAGTCTCCAAGAGGCCCACTAACGTGCCCGAGTATAATTTTCCAGGACTGGCCGACAGACCTGGAGAGCCATCTTGGGTCTTGGGGTGGATGGCTCGAGATGTCAGGTCGGATTCTCTGAGAGGCCCATCTTGGGGCCGTCTTGGGGGCCCCCAGGGCCCTTCTTAGGGGCGTCGGAGCTGTGTTAAGGCGATCTCGGAAGCTTTGTTTGTGGGCCGTTTTGGAGACTCTCTAAAGCGAGGTGCTTATCGCATTTCAGCCGCGCAGCAGCGCAGGTCCTAGCGGATTTAAGGGTAGGTGAGGTGCGCCGCCGATTCGGTGGCCGGGCCCGGGTGCCCGGGTGCCCGGGTGCCCGGGTGCCCGGGTTCGCCGCCGATTCGGTGGCTGGGCCTGGGTGATGGGTGCCCGGTGCCCCGGTGGGTGCCCGGGTGCCGGGTGCCCGGGTGCCCGGGTGCCCAGTGCCCTGTAGCCCTATAGCCTTATAGCCCTATATCCCCATCGCCCTATAGCCCTATAATAGCCCTATAGCCCTATAGCCCAATAGCCCTATAGCCCTATAGCCCTATAGCCCCAAGCAAATTCTGATTGGGGTTTTTCTCTGGTATCATGCGTTTCAGCGATTTTTTTTGCCCGCCCCCCCAGGGCATTCAGGACGGCGCAAGGGGCCCCCGAGGTGATCCTGGGACGTCCCCTCCTGGGCCATCTTGGGACAGACGACAAATATGGATCCCCAGCCACGCCCCCAGGGCATTCAGGAGCTCAGACGCCCCATATCTATGGGAATCGAGGCCCTGGGCCTTTGAAAGAGTATGTGCAATATTCGCAGCAGAGAAGTCGAGAGGACGCGGGGGGCACTTCGCGCTGGAGCACGGTGGTGGATCTTGGGTTATCCATCCCAAGAGCACCAGTTGTATTGGACACTCGGTTTGAAGACGCTTGCTTTGGAGATTCTCGCGTCCAGGGGCGCCATGGTCGTCGCCAGGAGTTGGACAGCGAATGGGCCGCGCAGCTCGTTTGCGAAACGCCCCTCCCCTTTCTGCCCCCCATCCCTCCCCCCCCGCAGTCCTTCCTCCTTGCCCCGTCCTGTCTCGAAGTCTTCCCACATCATTTTCCCCCCGCTGCCCTTTCCTCTGATTCACCCCGTCGCCTTGCCTCTTGCCCCGTCTTCCTCGCGTCCCCGAGTGCGTCCTAGTGTTCCCCTCCTCTCTTTTTATTTCCCCGCGTTGCCCTTCCCCGTCTTCCTCCCTCCGACCCCCCAAAGGGTATGCGTGTGTGTTGGGCTTTCATCACCCGAGTCCCTCCAGAAGGCTTTCAACAGCGTCTGGCGGTCCAAGAGCGCCATGAGACAGCCCGCGAGGCCCCCTAGAGGGCTCAAGAGGCCCCCGTACCCACGAACCCTCACTATAAGCTCGCGCTTCCCACGCTTTTTCCGTTTCCAACCGCCCGCGACGGCTCAAGGGGCCGCTGAATTCGCCCTGGACGGACAAACAAGTCCCAGAGACGGCCCGCGAGGTCCCCGAGACGAATCAGGAGACCCCCCTTCCCGAAGAAGGCCCAACACGCACCCAGAGAGGGCCCCAAAGTCGGACCCCAAGAGCCCGCGACAGCCGGCTAGCCCGCAGGAGGTTTCCGAGAGGCGCCCCGAGTTCCCAAAATGCCTTCGAGATCCCGCAGCAGGCCCCTGAGACACCTTGTGGATGATGCTTCCCGGTCCCCAGGGCAATGTTTGTCGTGTCTGACAGTTTTTTGACGGGCGCGGGGCCGGGAAACGGCCTCCTGATGCCGCAATCGATTAGAAGCATCACCTCGCGATTTCTGCGAGACGCCCGCACGCATCCGAGACCCTCTCCCCTCCCGCCGCTCCTGTTGCTGCTGCATCTGCAGAAGCGGTGGTCCGTCGGCAACTTGGCCTGGCCTGGGGCAGCCCGCACCAACGGGCGGGGCGGATATCAGAGCACCGCCACCAGCGCCGGTACCCTTCACTGCTAAGCCCGAACAGTCGAGAACACGAGTATCCTTCAAAAACCGATGGAGCATCAATGATTTTGGCATCTCGGGGCCCTCTTTGGGGGCCTCTTGGGGCCCTCTTGTGGCGTCTTGGGGGCCTCTTGGGCCGTCTTGGAGCCATCTTGGGAGTCTTGGAGCGCTCTTGGGGCGACTCGGGGCCATCTTGGGCCCTGTTGGGCGTTTCTTGGGGCTCTCTTAGTCTGTCGTAGGGGCCCTCGGGCTTCTAAAAAAGTCCCGCAGGAAACCCGACAGCGCGCAAGAGCACGCGGGACCGATTCGAGATTTTACATTCCCTGCCCTACATAAGATTTGATGGCCTTCGGCCCATCCCGCCACCGTGCCTGGATTGTGGGCTTGAAGCCTATTAGACCTGGGCCGGCACGGAAACGGAAAGAGCGCCTCAGGAACTTGCCCGAGATCGCTCATGGCACCCTTCGCTCTTGGGAGCCTTGGCGTTGAGAGCTTGTTACGTCACCGCTCGCTCTTGGGAGCCGTGGTGCTCAGAGATGTTTACGTTGCCGCTCGCTCTTGGGAGCCTTGGTGTCGAGAATTGTTTAAGTAACCGTTCGCTCTTGGGAGCCTTGGCGTTGAGAGCTTGTTACGTCACCGCTCGCTCTTGGGAGCCTTGGTGTCCAGAGATGTTTACGTTGCCGCTCGCTCTTGGGGGCCTTGGTGTCGAGAAGTGTTTAAGTAACCGTTCGCTCTTGGGAGCCTTGGCGTTGAGAGCTTGTTACGTCACCGCTCGCTCTTGGGAGCCGTGGTGCTCAGAGATGTTTACGTTGCCGCTCGCTCTTGGGAGCCTTGGTGTCGAGAATTGTTTAAGTAACCGTTCGCTCTTGGGAGCCTTGGCGTTGAGAGCTTGTTACGTCACCGCTCGCTCTTGGGAGCCTTGGTGTCCAGAGATGTTTACGTTGCCGCTCGCTCTTGGGGGCCTTGGTGTCGAGAAGTGTTTAAGTAACCGTTCGCTCTTGGGAGCCTTGGCGTTGAGAGCTTGTTACGTCACCGCTCGCTCTTGGGAGCCTTGGTGTCCAGAGATGTTTACGTTACCACTCGCTCTTGGGAGCCTTGGTGTCGAGAATTGTTTAAGAAACCGTTCGCTCTTGGGAGCCTTGGCGTTGAGAGCTTGTTACGTCACCGCTCGCTGTTGGGAGCCTTGGTGTGAAGAGCTTTTTGCGTTACCGATCGCTATTTTATTTGGCGTCTCTTGGCCTTCTTAGGGGTCCTTTGGGGGCAATTTTGGGGCCTATTTTGACTGTCTTGGGGTCCTCTTGGGCCGTGTTGGGGCCCATTTGGGCTGTCTGGGGGCATATTGGAGGCCTTTGGCCGTTTTGGGGCTCTCTTGGGGGCCTCTTGGGGCGGTCTTGGGAATCTCTTGGGGCTCTCTTGGGGCTCTGTTGGGCCGTCTTGGGGCTCTCTTGGGCCGTTTCGGGGCCCTCTTGGGCCGTCTTGGAGCTCTCGTGGGCCGTTTTCGGGCGCTTCTGGGGGCCTCTTGGGCCGTCTTGGGACGATATTTGGAGCCTCCTGGGCCGTTTTCGGCCGTTATTGGCCTGACACAGCGAAAACCTGAAAAACCTTCAAACACTATTGAACAACCAATGATTTTTGCCTCCTCGGGGCCTCTTGGGGAACCTCTTGGAGGCCACTTGGGGCGTCTTGGGGGCTTCTTGGACCGTCTTGGAGCCATCTCAGGGCGTCTTGGGGCCGTCTTGCACAATCTCGGACCCAACTTGGGCGTCTTGAAGCGCTCTTGGACCGTCTTGGACCCGTCTTGGACCCTTCTTGGACCGTCTTGGGCGCCTCTTGAGGCCGTTTGGGGCGCGTCTTAGAGGCCAAGAGGGCTATTAGACCAGGCGCCTGCGCCTCGCACCCCCCTGGACCCCCCCATTTAGGGCTTCGCCCCCTACTCAACGTCACTCGCTCGTACCTCGCTCTTTCCGTCACCTATTGGATGTTTGTTGGGATCTCGTGGGGGGCCTCTCTCTGGGGCTTCTTGGAGGCAGTTTTGAGGCTTCTGGGGGGGCGTTTCGGAGCCTCTTGGGGCCTCTTGGGGGCCTCTTGGGGCCTCTTCGGGGCCTGTTGGGGGCCTCTTTGGGCCTCTTGGGCGCCTCTTGTGGGCTCCTGCCTCTTGGGGCGGAACACTTGGATTTTCCGTGCTTTTTTTCCTCTCTTGGGCTCCGTTTTGGGCCGTTTTGGGGCCCTCTTGGGCGCTTCTTGGGCCGTCTTGGTGTGCCCTCAGGCCGTCTTGGGGCCCTCTTGGGGGCCTCTTGGGCAGTCTTGGGGTGGACTTCAGGGCCTCTTGGGCAGTCTTGGAGCGTCGGGACGCCGAAAGGCGCGAAAGCTGAAACCCTTAATGACCTGAGTAACATCAGTGATTCTGGCCTCTTGGGGCTCTCTTGGGAGGCCTCTTGGAGGCCTCTAGGGTTGTCTTGGAGGCCTCTTGATTCGTCTTGGAGCCGCCTTGTGCGTCCTGGAGCGATCTTTCGGCGACTCGGAGCACTTTTGGACCGTCTTGGGGGTCTCTTGGGGCTCAAAACGTTATGCGACAAGCCGCGGGGAACCGCGACAAGGCCCCGACCAGACGCGAGAAGCCTCAGGAGGTTTCGAAATTTGGGCTCCGGGCCCCTTGAAGACCCCTCAGGAGTGAGGACTGATGCTCAGGGAACTGGGCAAAGGACCGGAGGACACGCCTAGTCCGTGCCCAGCGGCACGGTGGCGAATTTTTCAATATTGAATACGGAGTACAGGGAACTCCAGAAGCCTGAGCAACACTCCACTTCGTGCCTCGAGGCACGGCGGCGGATACATGCATGTACGCATGTGTGCATGTATGCATGTATGCATGTATGCATGTATGCATGTATGCATGTATGCATGTATGCATGTATGCTTTTATGCATGCATGTCTGTCTGCCTGTCTGTCTGTATGCATGCATGCATGCATGTCTGTCTGTCTGTCTGTCTGTCTGTATGTATGATGCATGTATGTCTGTCTGTCTGTCTCTCTGTCTGCCTGTCTGTCTGTCTGTCTGTCTGTCTGTCTGTCTGTCTGTCTGTCTCTCTGTCTGTCTGTCTGTCTGTCTGTCTGTCTGTCTGTCTGTCTGTCTGTCTGTCTGTCTGTCTGTCTGTCTGTCTGTATGTCTTTATGCATGTACGTATGTATGTCTACATGTGTGTGTATATATATATATATACACAAAGTCATCTAGTGGCCTTCGGACCATCCCGCCACCGCGCCTAGGCTGGGTTGTAGGTCAGAGGCCTCTTGGATGCCTGTGATCTCTTAGGAGGCCTCTCGGAAGCCTTCTAGGCGTGGGTCTTGGGGTGTCTTGGGGCCTCTGGGGGCCTCTCTGGGGCGTTCTGGGGCCTAAGTTGGGCCTCTCGGGGGCCTCCTGGGGCTTCTGCGGGGCCCTTTGGGGGCCTGCATCTTTGGGCGGACATCGTTACATGTCAGTTCGAGTTCACCCTCTTGGGGCCCTCTTGGCTTGGGCCGCCTTGGGGGCCTCTTGGGCCGTCTACGGCCCCTCTTGGGCCCCGAGCGTCGGAAGCCCGAAAAGGCGAGAACGATAACATCCTTTCAAGACCCATGGGAAATCTATGGTTTTGGCATCTTGGGTCCCCCTTGGGGGTCCTCTTTGAGCCTTCGTTGGGCGTCTTGGGGGCCTCTTGGGCCGTCCTGAGGCCATTTTGGGCGTTTTCAAGCGCTCTTTGGCCGTCTCGGGGCCTCTTGAATTCTCTCGGAGGCTTCTTGGGGCCCTCTTGGCTCGTTTCGGAGCCCTCTGGCCTTGGAAGAGCTCACCCAGCGCGCGCTGGCACACCCCAGGCGATTTTGGCAGAGGGGGTGACAGGGCCCTAAAGAACCCTGCAAGCCGAAAGTGCCTGTACGACGCACAATTGCAGACCCTTGGGACGCTCCACTACGTGCTGGAGACACGGTGGCATATCCACATAGCTATATATGCACACATGTATATATATATATATATATATATATATATATATATGTAGGCGTACGCCCCCAACTGCATCATGCTATCCGTACACGTGTACCAAGGGTGCATACTTATAGCTGCGCATCTCTCTCTCTCTATATATATACATATGTACACAGGCGTATACAACATACAAGCGATATCCACGGTCTAGGTGTGTCTGTATATATCTATATATATGTATATGTGTGTATGTATTTGCGCACATGTATGTGTAATGTATGCATGCGTCGTGGTATTTCACCTCATCTTATCTACACATACAGACATGCATGCACACATACATACATACACATTTGCACACTTATATTCCTACACACCACGGTCGAGAGATGGGAGGGGATGTATGTGGATGCGTGAGAGAGGCTGTGCGACACGAGGAGGCTTATTGGTTTTATTTAGATTACATCTACGACAATGCCAAGCGCGAGCTGCCGAAGTTGAACCAGATGAATTTCTTCCATCTGATCCTCGAGGCAGCCGTTGCCCAATGCTGCCTCTGGTTTGTGTTCCATGCTCGCGATCCCATGCGCGCTTTTTTCAGTATCCTCTCTATCTCTTTAAGTCTCTCATCTCTTGCAATCTCTCGCTTTCTGTCCGCTTCTCCCCTCTCTCTCTCTCTTTCTCGGTCTCTCTCGCCCTCTCTCTCTCTCTCTCCTCTCTCTCTCTCCATTTCCGTCTCTCCGCCGCTTTCTTTCATTCTCTGTGGCTCCTCCCTCCCGCCCTCCCTCCCTCCCTCCTTCCCTGCACCTTGCACGTGGCCGAGGGCAGTGACTGAGCACGACAACGAGCTTCTCTGAGTGGCTTGCTTCTGCGATGTAATGATCTTCGGCATTTTAGGTCAGCGCGCCCATCATTCGGCCTCCTCAGAGCAGCCTCTGCACCTGCACCTCGTCGCCGACCGCCCTGGTGAGATGTGGGCAGGTAGCGGGAACGGCATCCAGCAGCTCCTCCTCCTTCTCCTCCTCCTCCTTCTTCTCTTTCGAATTCTCCTTCTCCTTCTCCTCCTTTTCCTCCTCAACCTCCTCCTCCTCCTCCATCCTCCTCCCCCTTCCTCCTCCTTCTCCTCCTCCTCCTCTTTCACCTCCCCCCTCCGCCTCCTCCGCCGCCTCCTCCTCCTCCTCCTTTTCCTCCTCCTCCTCCTCCTTTCCTCCCTTTCTCCTCCTCACACGAAGGTGCCACCCAAATCGCATCGCATCCAATCGTAGGGGGTATTGGAACCACGTCGAGCGACGGCTTCTCCCTAAATAATTTCTTGGATATTGCTTCGCAATCGTTCCGAATCCTCGTCCTCCTCCCCCCTTTCCCCTCCTCCTTCTCCTCCTCCCCTCCCCATCCTCCTTCTTTTCCTCCTCCTCCTCCTCTTCGTTTTTCCTCTCTTCCTCCTCATCCGATCCCCTTTCTCCTCCTCCTTCTTTTCCTCCTCCTCCTCCTCCTCCTCCTCTTCCTCCTCTTTGCACTTTCGCCTCCGCCTCCTCCATCTCGGGGCGTGCCGCGGTGGATGCGCAGAGAGTGTGTGTGTGTGTGTGGTGTGTGTCTGTGGGTGACACGTCGCCCGGCTTCCTCCCCCTCCGTCGCGCCGGGGCTCCTCCTCCTCCTCCTCCTCCTCCTCCTCCTCCTCCTCCCGTGCATTTCCCTCAGGGTACGTTCGGTCCCGTGCATTGCGGCCTTAATTTGCATACAGCGTGTCCCCTGTTGCCACTCCGCCGGAGCAGTCGACCTTTGCCCAGCCGCCGACACAAAAAGTGTGCGACACCCTGCGTTCAATGCACCTCCGAGGGGGAGTCCCTGGACCTCTCCCAGTGCGCGTTCCGTTGTGTGTTTCGAGGCAGATCCAATCGTGACGACGAGGTCCACCCATGAGGCCTCAAGAGTGCAGGAGGCGCCAGCTCAGGAAGCGCGCGGGAGGGCGAGCACGCGGGCGGTGGGAGAGGAGGGGGAGGAGAAAAAAAAACCCGCGCACATTCGTCTTCGACCTTGGCGGCAATTATTCGGATGAAGGGCGTCTTCTTCATAAGCTTTGGCTCGCGCCTGAGGCGTGTTCGGTCTTCATGGCGCGATGTAGAACATGTTCGGCCACGGTGCGGATGGATGGCGGCTCCTTCTCGACATGGGGCCACCGCGTGCAAGTTTTGCAACCTGAAGTTCAGGTGTGACTCAGCCGCGCGGGCGGACAACGGCTCCTTTTCAAAGGGTGCTCTCGCTTGACAGCCCTTCGAATTTCATGATCCTAGACGTTGACGTTCGCAAGAGTGCAAGGATGGGCAGCAGCTTTTTCTCGTGGCGGGCTCTCGAATGGTTGGCAGGCCCATGGGGAGATTGTCTCTCTGAGGGAGCGCTCCCCGTGGTGGAACAGAGCATTTGTAGAGACGCATGAGGAGGTGATCTGTGCGGGAGGGTGTGTTGCGCCATCGTGGATACATCCTGGGTTTGTGGTGGTATGTCGCTGAGCGAACTCAGGCCACGGAGCTGGAACGTTATATGTGGTCCTCCTCCTCCCCTTCTTTATCCGCCTCTGTCGATTTCGGCCGCCAAATATGTCCTGTAGCGCAAGCTGACCAGGACGTCCTCCAGCCTTGTTTACGAGGGTCTTCCAGGGAGCCCCGAAAGAGGGACCCCCCCTATCCTCTTCCTCTTTCCTCTCACTTCCCAACCTCCTCCTCTCTCCCTTCAGCGTACCAATAGGCCAATGACGTGCTCAGGTCCATCTACAGCAACCCGAAGGCAAGGACCCAGCTGTTCAACCAGTGGCGAGAGTATTGCAAGAAGCTGCCCTTGAAGGGTGCCGTGCTCTTCAACCAGGAGTCCAAGGGAACGGAGATGGATGGAGGGAGGGAAGGGGGTGAGGATGATGAAGGGGAGTAAGCGGAGGAGGGGGAGGATGATGGGATTCTAGTGGGTTTGAGGGAGTTTCAGGGGGTTCTTCGGGGGTCTCGGGAATACGGGGGAGACGGAGGGGGAGGATGGTAGGGGAGGATGGAGGAGGATGGAAGATGATGG